AAGAACATGATCCAAAGCCAGGCATAGTAGTGCATATCTGTGATCCTAGCACTCAGGAGGCTGAGGCAGAAAGATTGCTGTAAGTTTGAAACTAGTGGGCTACATAGTGAGTTCAAGGCCAGCCTTACCTACATAGTGAGATATTTTTTTTTTTTTTTGGTGGTACCAGAGATTGAACTCAGGACCCTGTGCTTGCCAGGCAGGCACTTATTCTACTGAGTTATCTCTCCAGCCCCAATATAGTGAGATCTTATCTCAAAAAAAAAAGGGGGGGGAGCTGGTGAGATGGCTCAGTGGTCTAAAGCACCTACTTAGAACAAGCTTAGCAAAGCACAGGGACCGTGGTTCAATCCCCCAGCACCACATGCCAGCCAGCCCCGCCCCCTGGTGGGCTGAGCTGGCCACACACACACACAAATAAATAAATAAATAAAATTTAAAAAAAAAAAGAAAGTAATGCTCTTTTTTTTCCCCAGTTCTTGATGGGTTTAGGATTTCAACCACTTTTAGCAATAGTAATACATATCTCATTTGTTGCATTTGTATCTTGAGCATCATAGCTACCTTTAAAGTGGAAATTTTCATGTATTAGATTAATTTTTCATTTTTTTTTCCATGTCTTCCTGAACTGAATGACTCCAGGTTTCCATTAACTTTGGACCATGCTTCAAATACCCACCCAAGGATCTCACCTACCACCCTGTGAGTAGTGCTAGCAGCCTGCGGTCTGCGTCCCCTCCCACTGCGCCTGCTAACTCTGCCCCCTTCTGTCCCCTGCAGATGAGTGACATGGGCTGGGGCGCTGTGGTGGAGCACACACTGGCTGATGTCCTGTACCATGTGGAGACGGAAGTAGATGGGCGGCGCAGTCCCCCTTGGGAGCCCTGACTAGGCTGAGCATTTTCCACACGTGAACTTTCTGGAGAATAGGACTGGGGCTTTTGTCTTTGAACTCTCAAATATCCTCCCAAAGACACTGCAGAGCACAGCGCTCCTTGAGCCAGTCAAGGGCCGGGCAGCGGTGCCCAACACTCCCTCCCCACCCTGCCACACTCTTATTTTATGTGCCATACACCAACAACTGCTGACCCCAGGACCCCAAAAACTTCCTGTGAAACTGGTGCTGCCTCCCATCTCTGCCAGCAGGCACTTGTTACCCTACTGCATTTTCTAAAGAATGAATACTCTGGTCACAGAGCTAATGTATGTAAAAGACATTTCCTTCCACAGTCATTGCCTCCATCCTGCCTGATCTCCATGCGGAGTGAGGCTGTTTCTGAGAACTGAAACTGACAGTATGGCTCAGCCCATCTCAGAGCAGCTTTCTTTTGGTGTGGGTTTGTCTGCTGACTTTGAAACACATTTGAACCCTGGAGTCTGAAATGACTTGGTCTCTAGAACTGTAATTGTGAAAGAGACTTGGCTCTGCCTTAGCAGAATTAGAACTCTTCTCCAAATAAAATTTGCCCCAAGGTTTGTGTGGTACTTGGTTTCTCTCAAACTGATTTTCCCTCAGTGGCAGTGTGAGAAATGTGGGTAGAATGAGGAGGGGGAGCCTGCCTGGAAGAAAAGACAGGTTTCAGGTCTATAGTCCATGTCCACATCTGTGTGTCCCTGCCCTCTTTGTTGCTTTGTTCTCACTGGTGCCCTATGAAAATTGGAATCTCAAGAATTTGGGCAGTGAGATAGCTCAGCAGACTAAAGTGCCTGCTTAGGCAAGCGCAGGGACCATGGCAATTCTATCCTGGTACACATGCCACACCAGCCCTGCCCCAATGGTGGGCTGAGTCCAGCGGGTGTAGTGGCACGTGCCTGTAATCCCAGCACTGAGGAGGCTGAAAACAGGAGGATCACTGTGTGTCCAAGCTGTGTAGTGAGACTATAACAGCCAAATACATTAAAAAAAATATTTTTAAAGGCAAATGGTTTTTCTCAGCTCTTCCTTTGATGTGGTATTGACATGCACAGGCTGCTTTCCTGCCCTGTGTTTTGCCCTTGGAACAGGTGATCAAGGTGTGGTTTCTAGGACTGGGGATGTCGCCCAGGGGGGAAGCGCTTCTACAGTTTATGCAAGACCCCAAGCTCAGCCTCCAGTACTGCCCAAGGGAAACAAGTAGGGTTTCCAGAATCCTAAAAATCAGAAGAGTAAGCTTGTTTTGGGATCTCTTTCTGTCCAACAAGATAGCTTAGCAAGCCTGCAGGGATCAAGGTTTGATTCCCTGTACCACATGCTGTGCCAGCCCCACCCCCAGGGTGGACTGAGCTGGCCACAAAAAAACAAAAAAAAAAAGGCTCTCTTTCCAGTTTCCCATCTCCCTTCTTAAATCCACAAATCTGGTGGCAGATGCAGACCCCCAGAGTTGCTCGAAGACCCTGCATGCCACTGCCTACCAGGTCATTAAGCAGAGCAATGTAACAGGTGATACAAAATCAATACATATCATGCCTGTGGCTTTGCTGCATAGCTTATTTTTGTGGAAAAATTCAAGTTCAAACAGATTTTGGCATCATAACACAGTAGTATTGACAATTTTATTTGCCTTTTAATGAATTGTCCAGACTCAACTTTGTCCATTTCAGTTTTGTTCTGTTTCATTTTAGAAGACAGAGCCTTGCTATGTAGCTCAGGTTAACCTTAAATGAATTATATAGTCAGGCTGACTTCAAACTCGTGGTGATCCTCTTGCCTCAGCCTCCTGGATGCTGGGATTACACATGTATATCACCACACCAGGCTCTTGTCCTATTCACATCTGAACAGGAAAATAAACAATATGATTGTAGGCTGAGGATTCAACCTGTCAGATTCTAGACACCCCTTAATGCATGGACTGATCTTAGAAGACAGACTTGGCTGGGCATAGTGGTGTATATCTGTAATCCCAGTATTCAGGAGGCTGAGGCAGGAGGATTGCCTTGAGTTTAAGGCTAGCCTGAACTACTCACCGACCCATTTCAAAAACTGCTAGATCATCCATGTGAAGAACTCCAAGAAAGGTGGCATTGTATAAAATTAGCTTTATGTACATGTATTGGACCTTCATAAATTAGGGGTTACAGAAAGAGTGGTTATTTTATTTGGAACAAAGTCTCACTCTGTAACTCAGACTTGTCTTGATCTCCTGTTTCAGCCTCCCCGGCACAGTATTACAGGTGTGCACCTCCTTGCCTGGTTTCAGTGGCTGGCACGGTGCACCCAGTGTTCTGGGGCCTGCATAACATGCAGTATCAGGGACTGAACTCCAGTCCTTACCCTTGCCAGGCAGGTGCTTAGACTGCTGAGCTATCTCCCAAGCCAAAGAGTGATTTTCTTGTTAATACTTTATGTTCAAGAGAGAATGCTTCCATACTCCTGCATCAATAAAGTCTGAAGAGCTCAGAGAATAGCTATTTTTCATCTAATTCTATATACTTTCCGTAATCAGACTGTCAGTGACAACTTGTTTTATTCAAATGTAAAAGTAAACAAGTGGGAAAATATCTCCCCACACATCAAGAAGACAGTTACAGTTACATAGTTTGAAGGAACAAATTAAGACCCAGCCTAAAGCCATGGTTTTGGCTGAAAACCCCCTCCTTAGCCCATCTCCTTGCCCTAGCATGTGTGTTGCCTTGCAGCCTTTAAGCACACAGCTTCTCTTTGAGGGGGTCTGTAACTGCTGTGGAAGCACCTCCCCCCCGTGGCTACCCTCCCTCAGGAGGAGGGACAGTGATCCCTAGGGTAAAAACAGACCAAGAAATAGTAAGTTACAATAAATATTCTGCTTTTATTTTAAATTACAATAACTCAATAAATACCATGGTTTCTGCTGCTGCTATTTTGTTTAATAAATAAGCTAGGACCCTATTTCCAAGTGGTGCAAGTCATCAGAGCCATTAAGACAAAAATGGAAAAGCTTCAGGTGTAATTGATTTTTTTATCCTTCTTAAATGTAGCAGAATGTGTTGTGTGTATTTTGAGACAGTTGCTGTGTATCCATGCTGGCCTTGAACTCGTGGTGTAGCTGAGGCTGGCCTTAAATACTCAGTCTTCCTGCCTCAGCCTCCTGAGCGCTAGAACTGCAGCATGCACTATCACACCTAGCTCCAATTCTATTTTTAAAGCATAACTTCTCTGTATTGTAGAAAAGGGAACTTACTGTTACCATATTACCCCTCTTCCAGCCACTTCCACACCTCAAATACTACAGTTTTAGTTGTGCAAGCGGAGAAGTTGGCAGCTCTGAACCAAATTGTCAGCTGTGTAATTCTGTACTATTTGGCATCATAAATAAACATGTTAACTTTATCTTAGTATGGTTTATTATCTCATTTAGTACTATCCTTTTAATTAGGTAGATAAGCCTGAGGAGATAGCTCAGTAGAATAAGTGCTTGCCTTGCAAGTTCAGGGTCCTGAGTTCAATCCCTGGTACCACCAAAAAAAAAAAAAGAATTAGGTAGATAAAAGGCTGCAGCTATAATCCTCTTGGGGGCTCATTAATCAGCCAGTTGCATAGTTCCTTAACGGATTTAGGTTTATGCTTATCACAAAAATTAATTATTTTATGAAAGATTCTGGTAACTTTCTAAATAATTAAATAATATAAATCTGCAGTATTTTCTTTTAATCAGGTTTAGTTTAACTAAATTTTTTTCTAGGATGAGGGTGTACTCTATTAGGCTGATTTTTCTTTTTTTTTTTTGGCAGAACCGGGGATTGAACTCGGGACCTTGCACATGCCAGGCAAGCGCTTATTCTACTGAGCTCTCCCCAGCCCCTGTTAGGCTGATTTTTAAAAAATAACTTTTTTTAAAAACAAGGACAGACTGAAGTTCTTGCATTAATTATGACTTTATTCTGACTGGTGCTTGTAGAAGAAGTAATGAACCCTGCGTGCAGGAAGAGGAGCTCTTGAGCCCAGTTCCTGCCTTTAGCACCCCTGTACCAGTCACTAGCATTTGAAAGATGGTTTTAATTGAGCATATAATTTGGTAACAGAAAATTTTGGCCCAGAAAATTTGGTAACCAGTGTCTTCAGAGCTTAGCCTATGTTCAGAGCTACTCTGTAGGTTAAGTGAGAAGTCTTCCTCTTTGTCTAAGAGCCTTCTTGCTGTTTTCTTGGTGCTAACTTTGTTAATAGTTCCAGCCCTATCACACCCAAACTCCCACCCTCCATCTGCAGGTGATGATTTTAGACTTGCAGGCTTCCAGCCGGGCGCCCCTGATGCACACGTGGGTTAGCTCCAAAGGCTCGGTGGGGACAGCAGGCTGGTGTTTAACCGTGGGTTTCAGCTGTGGGGCTGGACTCTAGGTGCCTGCGCAGGTGGTTGGCAAAATCCATCTGTGTCTGTGACAAGACCTGGTTGATGATAGTCTTTGGCAGCCACCCCTGGAGTGGGAGAGAGAAGAATGTGTCTGCCACTGGTCTGCTCTACTATGGACACCTCTGTGCCTGTCACAGACATGGGCTGTCTGGGGTGTGGTCTTCCAGCTCTGTTTATGGGTGCAGCCTTGGAGTTGACCAGGATCATGGGCTACATTTCTCAAAGGTCACAATGGTGTCAAAAGCACAGACATTTTTTTTTTTTTTTTAAATAAGGATCTACAGGGTCTCACTACATAGTACATCAGATGCTGGGACTACAGTGGTGCACCAACATGCCCAGTCTCAATGCACACCCCCAGGGCAGGGGCTGGACCAGTGGCACACCAGGGATTCAACCCCAGCAGCTGGGTCTGCCTAAGCAGATGCTTTGATCTGCTGAGCTATTTGGCCAGCCCTTAGGATTGACTCTTAAAACAGCTCTCTTCACAGCTATATGACCTTGAGCAATCTACATTTACATCTCTTATACTAAGATTTCAGGGCCTAAATTTCTTTGAGACAGAGTCTCACTTCCTAATTTAGGCTGTCCTTGAATTCACTATATCGCTCAAGCTGGCCTCAAACTCACTACAATCTTCCTGCCTCTGCCTCCTGATGCTGATGTTACAAGTTTGTGACACCACACCCAGCTGTTCTTTTTTTTGTTTTCCTTTTTTTTTTTTTTTTTACAGGGTCTTGCAGCACAGTTGAGGCTGGCATACAGCTTCCTGATGCTGGGATGAAAGTGACTCCTGAGCATCCTTCCTTCTGGAATGATCCACAGACTTGAGATGTGATGTGCCTGCTCAGGGAGCCACTGCAGGCTTGAGTAGCCACTTAGCACCCCTACCCACCACCCTGCCTGTGTGGATCCCTGCTGGAGACAATCTGGCTGGTGGTGTGAGGGGTCCAGCCTGTTTTCCTCACTGCCTCTACCAACCATGCCTCTCACCTTGAGGTCAATGCTGAGCAGCCAGGTGAGTTTGGTCTTTTCAGGGCTCCCAGCCAGCGGATGAAGCACCATGCAAGTGGGTCCCTGCTCAGCTCTGGTGGATGAATGGAAAGCAGGTCAGGAGGACAATTCAGAGTTCTATATGATTCATTCCTGCCACATTTCTGGAGCACCTTATCCTTTTTCCAAATCTCATTGGAAGTCCCCTTTGCCAGTGAACATAACGATGGTTGGCATGGTTACCAGCTCTCCAGTAAATGGTGTAGCTAGAGGGGAACCTGGAGTCTGCTGCTGGGCCCCTTTGTTGGTAGATGGCAGGGGGCCAGGAATAGATGCATCCCAGTTCCTGCTGGGATTAGAGGCATGTGACACCACACCCCACCAGAAAAAGGGAAATGTTTTATAAAAGAAAACTGAGGGTGGGACCCAGGACCCATTTCTTGGAGCTGGGGACTCTGCCCATGAGAGACTTGAATGCATATGCCTGTGTGGAAAAAGGTCCTGGTCTGCTGCCAGTCTCACCTGATGATGCCTTTCTGCTCGGGCATTTCCCCGAAGTGGGTGGCTATGCCCGCCATCACACAGGTGGAGCCTCTGCGCTTGGCATAGCGCACGCTCACAAAGTCTCGGGGCCCCACCAAGTTCCCTGCTGCTTCTGCAGCCAGCTCATGGGTTATGATGGTGTCTCTTCCAATCTTCTGCAGGACCTGCCAAGTCATAGGGAAACCAGATCACTCCATTACCCGGGCTGAGTTAGGACCCAGCCATAGTATGGGGCCTTCACTGGCCTGCCTTTCAGACTGTTCTTTTGGCCCTGCTGTCCACATGTGGATGCACTTACCTTGACCTCCTTGACGTTTGGGTTCCACTCTCCCATTGCCTCTATGCGATCCACAAGCTCTTCATAGAGCCTGTCCATGGGCTGGTCCACTACTACCTCCAACCGGAACATCTTGCCCACATCCGGGACTACCTTACTCAACACTTTGTCTCCATTTGCCTGCAGGGGCAAAAATGGAGCCATAGGATAATTGTTAGAGGAAAATATTCTTAGCCTAGGTCTCAAGACAGTGTTAGGTAAGATTGAGAGAGGTCCAGCAAAAGAAAATCCAAGCTGAGGCTCGAGGATACTCAGGCCTGCCTGGTTAAATAGCAGTGAAAATCATTCATGCCAGGGCCCAGACATCCACTGAAAACTGGAACCGGTAACCCACCAGCCCTAGACCCTTTTGGCAGCAGATGGTCCAGTTGAAAAGACCAGTGCCTGACTGCAGGAGCTCAGATCCTGAGACCTGGGAGTGGGAAAAGTCAGGTGTATTTATTTTTATGTATTTGGTATAGGGTCTCACTACGTGGCTTGAATAGTGATCCTCCTATTTTCAGCCTCCCCAGTGCTGGGATTACAGGTGTGAATCACCATGCCTGGACTCCTCACTGGCTCAGCGTGGGCCAGAGCCTCAGCCCCTGCACTTGCCTAAGCAGATTCTTAGACCACTGAGCTATCTCACCAGCCCTAAAAGTCTGGTTTATAATTAGCTAATTATACCATATAAACAGAGTTTTTGTGGGACCTTCAGCAGTTTGTTGTTGTTGGGGTTTTTTTTGTTTGTTTGTTTGTTTTTTTGTTGTTTTTTGGTGGAACCAGGGATTGAACTCAGACCCTTGCACTTGCCAGGGAAGCACTTATTCCACTGAGCCATTTCCCCAGCCCCTGTTGTTATTTGTTTTCTCCCCCAATTAAATACATCATATCAGAAGGACTTGAGGCAGAGAAGTTCACTGAGCCCTTAGCAAGATCAGTGCTGGGCCTAGATTCCAGGTTTCTAAGCTCTCAAACTTGGAATTATTTCCCTGGGTCAGAGAACTTAAGGAGAGGTTTTACTAGAACTTTGGGTAAAGGATAGTGTGTAAGCTGTTACTGAATCTAAAGCCACCAAAGTTTCTGATAAGAGTCCCTGGTTTTGGGGATGGGCCTTGTTACTGGTCCCCCAGACAGCTTTGGGCCCTTCCAGCCCCAGCTCAGAGTGGCTCAGCGCAGTATGCTTGGAGCTGGGGTCCTGATACTGAGTGATTTGGCCTCTAATGCACATGGACCACTGTTCTCAGGGTTTCTGCTTAAGGGTATTTGTATACACTGTTGCTATAAGAATATAGCAACAGTGTTTCTCCAATGGGGACTCTTAAATTGAGAAGCTTCCCTAAAAGAATATATTCTTGGGTGGCCAAATAGCTCAGTGGATTAAAGTGCCTACAAGGAGGCTCAGGGGCTGGGGGTTCAATTCCCAGGCCTGCTGTGCCAGCCCCACCCCTGGGGCATGCTGAGACTGGACATGATACTATGCGCCTGTAATCCCAGCCCTTGGGAGCTTGTAAACTGGCGGATCAGTACGAGTCCAATTTAGTAGTAAGATCCTGAATACCCTGTAGACCCCTTCCCTAAAATACAAATA